AAACAACAGTGTTTTCTGGAGAATGTTTTGGTATTCTAAAATCTCTAGAATATATTCTACTTGCAAAACTTAACAAATCCATCATCTTCACAGACTCGAAAAGTGCTCTACAAGCTTTGCAGAAATTTCCTTTCAAATCTTGTTTAACCTGTGTTTATATAATGGACTGTCGACAACTACTTCTAAATTGTAAGCTCAAAGGTTATGATGTTCTTTTTGTGTGGATACCTGGCCATCACAAAATACTTGGGAATGAAATAGCTGATAAATTTGCGAGAGATGCGATAAATAGTGGTGATATGTCACCTTACAAAAATGTTGTGTCTGACCTTCTTTCCACTCCTAAAGATCATTTACTGAGGTCTTGGGAAAGTATTTGGAATAGCTCTAGCTGCCATAAAGGCCGTTATTATAAAAATATACAGCAACGAATTCCTCTAAAAATGTGGTTCTGTAAAATTAGTCTATGTAAGCTTGCAACCTCCTGTATTATAAGAATGCGATTGGGACATGTTTGTACAGCTTCTCACCTTGCTAAACTCGGTGTCATTAACAACAGTTTGTGTGCTTGTGGCGTTGGTGAGGAGGACTTGAATCACATTTTCTTTGGATGCCTCCTACGTGACTGTTCCTCATTCATAAATTCCCTGATAAACCTCCGGGTTCCTCTTCCCACATCAATCCCTACATTATTAAGTACTATAAATTCTGATTTGTATAACTTGATATCAAATTTTTTATTTAGTAATAATATTAAAATGTAAACAGTTTTAAAATATAATATTCTTTTTATTTATACCCAATCACTATATATTATGAACTCTTAGGCATTATTATATATTATTATCCTATTACTTACATATCCTTTCCAAATTTCGAACCTTCCAATTGATTCCTAAATAAAACTGGTTTCCCTACCTTTTCCACACTAGTAGTGGCAAATGCACAAACCGTGCGAGTCAAAATTAAAAAAAAAAAAAAAAAAAAAAAAAAAAAAAAAAAAAAAAAAAAAAAAAAAAAAAAAAAAAAAAAAAAAAAAAAAAAAAAGACTAAGCTGTTATATATGCAATTATGTAACAAAATTAAAGTTACAGTATAGGCGGAGAATATGAAGAAGTATTAAGATTTAAATAAAATAAAAAATATAAAACACTTCACTGAGTTAATCAGAAAACACAAAAAAAAAGAAAATAAGTTCCATGTTGTGGAATGCCGCACCAGGTGTTTAACCGCTTGTACTTGATCACTCTGCTGTGCGCGGCGATGCTGCGCCAAGTGTATATGGTTTGTAGACGATCTTGCCTGAATGCTGTGCCAGGTGTATATAGTTTCTACTCGATCTCTATTTGTAACGATCGATCACGTCGGGGTCACCAATGAGGGAGTGCATATAGAGTCCCTTCTTTATTTCGCCTGGTCGTGTTTTATGTAATTAACACCACAGTTGGAAAAATATAAATTTTATTGTTGTAGCGGCATAAAGTAATTACATTAAATTAGTTATTTAACACATTGTAAATTATTTTTATGTTTTTCATATTTGGCGGTAAAAAGGTATCGTGTCACAGACCATATCCTTTTTCCCACATCTCGTGCGTTCCGGCTTACGCATAATAAAACGCCACATGCTTAAGTAATTCAAACACAAAAATTAATATGAAATATTACTAAACAATTACGAGCGACTAGCGATTTTACAAAAGTTGCGAATAAAAAATTAAGTAACTACTTGCGGGAAACTCCCGGCTGGCCGCATGAAAAATATAAACACAATTACCTATATTAAAATTCAGACGTACCATAGGTATAAAAATGTACCTAGCGGACAGGGCATACGGTTCAAAATCACTAGGAATAATTCCGTGTCGCTTGCTCATTTATTTTGCGTAGATCGGTCTGTCTCGCTCGCTCGGTTTCGTTCGTGTATCAAGCAACATTACACGACAAAGAAAGAAACATGTTGGGTGATAGCTTCGCTAGAAGTAATAGTGTTCTGTGGGTGATAGTGTGATGTTTGTTTCCTTCGCGTAATGTGTGATGTTGCATTACATCGTAGAGTAATATTACCGGAGTGATATCACTCGCATTACTTACACATGTCTACTATGCACCTATTCTAGTAAGGTCGAGGCTACTAGATACTCGAGAATTCTAAACTCGCCAAACCAGTGGGTGAGCTCACGGGGCTCTAGCAAGAGCATTGCTTAGTAGAATCTACCACCGGATCGGAAACGCAATCCACCCAACCCTGAGAAGATCCGTCGAGAAACTCAGTGGATGTGTCCGTGGGTTAATTTACTCGCTGAACCCTTCGCTGCAAAAGTACCTACTGGTTCGAAGAGAACGATGACCGGTGCTTGAGGTACCTAAAAACACCGATAGCGGATCGGAAGGATCCGAAATGATTTGTTTAGGGCGACGTAGACTGTTTTGCCATTCGGTCCGCAGGATCGGGTATGAAAAAAATTATATTAAACTCTGATAGGTTTGTATTGGGAAATTAAATACCATGATACCTTGCGTTGAAATAGTTTTATGTATAAAATTTCCATTTAATTTAGAAGAAAAATGCTTTAATTAAAATGAACTGATTGAAATGTTTTTTTTAATTCGATCGTTCGATAGGTTCGATATAGAATAATACATAGGGTAGAGTAGAAGAAAGACGATCTCAGTGAGAATAAACTGGCTTTATGATAGTTACTGCACGGGATTAGGTTCTAACAAAGGCGCCAAAAGTCGTAACTAATTAGACCAGTTTCCTAAATGCCTAAATTCTTTGCCGAATGCCGAAATTCTTTATTTTTCTCTCCCACTAATGAACTTTCGTTAATACGAATCCTCTTATTTTTTCCTTCACTATGTTATTAAGCATGTTTGTTTCTATTTTGTTAAATTATAGTATAAAAAAGTGCGGGTACCGCTTCATACTGAAAAAATTGCATTTTTTTTTTATTATTGCTTAGATGGGTGGACGAGCTCACAGCCCACCTGGTGTTAAGTGGTTACTGGAGCCCATAGACATCTACAACGGTAATGGCCACCCACCTTGAGATATAAGTTCTAAGGGTCTCAGTATAGTTACAACGGCTGCCCCACCCTTCAAACCGAAACGCATTACTGCTTCACGGCAGAAATAGGCAGGGTGGTGGTACATATCCGCGCGGAATTACATATTTTTTCAAATCATGATAAATATGATATCAAACATGGTAGGTATTTTAAACTTAAAACAAAGAACAACATTTAGTTTTTGTTATTAATTTTGTCATTGACAATTATTGTCACAGGCACACTTACAATTTCCTTTGAATCGAAATAATAAACACGGTTAAAATTTACACCAAGAACTATATTTACAACTTATAATAATATTAGAACCTGTTATACAATCTATAAAATTCTCAACAAATATCAATGTATTGACTGACACTATAATTCACAAACAGCCCAACCCGGCTTTAGTAAATTACCTAGTACCATGTAAAAATGTATTCTAATACTTCAAGAGTTAAAATAAAGGAAAGACAACATGTTTTAATTGCATTGGATCACTCACTCGCAGTCTTTTCAAGAATAAAGAATGTAATTCATTAGTTTTATCGCTATGATTGGGATCTATGCTTTCTAAAACATCTTTTGTCAGCTTGTCGAGTTAGAATTTCTGATACAAATTTCCGGTGTGTAAATACTCGCAGTATATCGGCTCTCGCTTCCTGGATACCTTCACATACGATTTTACTCCTTTGTATGTTACCCTGAAAATATGTAGCAATAAATATTGTGTTCCAGTAAATTGGATATGAAAATATATGTATAATATGTATGTTTACTTTGAGCAATTCTAAGAGAGGATGTTCGTGTGGCTGTAAGGCACTGAGAGCTCGCATTGGTGCTGATTCTAAACCTCGTAGTAGTACCGATAACTGTTCTCCCACGTCTGATTCCAATGATACCTATAAAGAAAACAATCTGAATAGTTATGGAGATAAAACCTCTACAATATAATATTATTAAAGACATTATAAAATTTATTAATTCTATTTTATTTATTTATTTTTTATTGCCCTTGTAGGCAGACGAGTATACGGCCCACCTGATAGTGAGTGGTTACCGTCGCCCATGGACTTCAGCAATGCCAGGGGCAGAGCCAAGCTGCTAAACAATTTTTTGTTTTATAAAAAAAAAAAAAATTTTTTTATTACATTATAAATTATAAGTTCCTGTTAATGGCGTTTTCTACGATCCAAACCACTAAATGGTTAGGATATAAAGTAGAAAGCCTCACGCGTTACCTTTGACCTTTAAGCCAGTTGGGAGTTACTGAAGCCCATAATCACCACAATGTGACTGCCCACTTTTAGACACGGTAGAAGTGTCGATTGCTAAACACACGGACGGCAAACTGGGAAGCATGTTGTGAAGCAAACAAGGCGAAATAAGGACATTGGTAAGGTACGCATTAGTGCTTGCTTACATTGTGTTATCATTATTAATTAAGGCGCCATCATGAGGTTAGGAATGATCAATCGAACGGACGACAGGAAAGTAGGGGTCGAGGATAGAAGATGCTCGAAGTCGAAATAATTACAGAAATCGTTAGGCTGTGAGCCTTGTTTTGGCATTGTTAGATATCGAATACATATCTCTTTATTAATAGTTAAAAATAATAAAATTATTGTATTGTCATCAGTCCTTCATGTGTCTATTCATTTTCAAGTTAACCATATGTCTTTAACTTTGTAAAAATTCAATTGAATTATTTCCGATACATAGATATTTCTTCTTCTCAGTCATTCCCTCATTGTTGAGAATCACCCCTCTCTTCTCACTGTTTCTCTCCAGCTATTCCTATCTCTGGGTTCGTTGATCAGCATTTATATTTCTTCTTCTCAGTCATTCCCTCATTGTTGAGAATCACCCCTCTCTTCTCACTGTTTCTCTCCAGCTATTCCTATCTCTGGCTTCGTTGATCAGCATTTATATTTCTTCTTCTCAGTCATTCCCTCATTGTTGAGAATCACCCTCTCTTCTCACTGTTTCTCTCCAGCTATTCCTATCTCTGGCTTCGTTGATCAGCATTTCTTGCTGCTCAGTCAACTGGTCAAATCATCGCTGTAGGCATCGACCTCTAGTCCTTTTTCCTTCCATTTTGTCGGTAACGACAAGCGTAGATAACTTTATCCAGGTTTCTCAGTGCCACGTGCGTGAAATATTACAGGACCAGATCAAAACATACGGTTGACAGTCGTAAAAAAATACAAGTCAAGCTACTATAAACACGTTAAAAACTAGAAACTTAGAACTTATATCTCAAGGTGGGTGGCGCATTTACATTGTGGATGTCTATGGGCTCCAGTAACCACTTAACACCAGGTGGGCTGTGAGCTCGTCCATCCATCTAAGCATAAAAAAAAACTAGTCTGTCCAGAAATAATAATTTTTGTGACAATTTATTGGTCTTACGAGATCGTCCATCTGTGCGGTGAGGTGGTGCAGCTTCCAGCCGTCCGCGGTGGCGAGCACGTGTCGCTGTGCGGCGATGGCGGTGATGTCACGCGGACGCGGCTCCCGACGTTTGACGTCACTGGGTCGCACGAAGTGCAGCGCCGTGCCGCGCCACCCGCACACGTAGCTAGAGCCCAGCTGCGGACCTGTACATACACCGATATTTTATAGGACTACAATGTACGATCACGGATGCCAAGAATTTTGAAGAATAGGTTTTTAATAATTATTATATTTCTGTATCTCTTTTAAACGTCACTGAATATAGCATGAAAGGGACCGTTAAGGGCTAGTACAAGAGCTCATTTTGAATTTTTATTTAGCATTGCTTTATCTATACTAATATATAAATCTACAGTGGTTTTTACGGATGTTCCGTTATAACTACCGAACCATGCATCTGATTGACTTGAAACTTGGTATCCATGTAGAAAATACGTGTACTTAATGGATAGGGTAATAATTATATGAGTGTTGGACTCCCTACACCAGTTGCGGGGGCGTTAATGATGAGAATCTTTGTGGCGGTGCGAAATAATAATGTTAATTTTAAATGCCCAGCGAAGCGGACGGTTACAGATAGTAGTAAATAAAAATTAAAGATCTGTTTCCGCACAAAGATTGATTATATATTATAGTAAGATTAGACTTAGCAGAAGTGAACAGGATTTCTGTATAACCGTGTCGGTCCCTAATTATTACACTGTAATAATACTGTCTCTATTCACGCAAATACTCACGTTTTGGTGTTTTTATAGTTATCTGAGGTGGCGACGATGGCTGCTCGTCATTCTGATAGTCACAATGTCTGACGTCATTAGTCAACCTGCGAATATAGTTTTTTTTTTCTTAGAATTTTAGGATATTGTTTCAATTTCTTTCAAAAATTCTTTCACTGTTTGGAAGCTACACTATTCCCGAGTAACATTGGCTATTATCTTTTTTGAAATAAATTAGAGATCCTTACTCTAATAATGTAACCCAAGGTGTAAAAAAAATTACCTAACATATTCTTTACATCGCGTGCCCTCCGAAAACTATTGATGATAAAATAAAATAATATACTACGACTTTGTAGAACACATTATTATTTACAAAAAGTGTGGCGACAGCATATGTCTAACCATTGTAGTTATGCAAAAATAAGTGTTGTTTTAATTAAAAAAAATAAAACAACGTCAAATATCCTTGAAATTTTTGTTAAAGACCCGAGCGGAGCCGGAGCGGGCCGCTAGTATTCTAATAAATACAAATCTTGTTCGAGACTACATGAGTACAAAGTATAGCTTACGTCTGTTTCCTTGGTTTCTTTCTAGGGGAGAGGTCACTATCTATAGGCGGGGGCTCTGGTTCGTCGTCCGGGTGTGGAGACGAGGAGGCCGAGATTGTGGTCGAGCCTGAACCTCCACCTCCAGCTGGCACGTCTTCCCAGCCTGTGCCAGTATTGTAAGCACTTGTTTGTACAATGCTTATGGGTTTTATTGGCGAACTGTAAACAATGATAAAAAGTCAGAACCCGATATTTTATGGTAGTTTTCCGATTACAGTATTAGAGCGCATTATTGATTATCTAGCGGGGTGGTGGTGCCTACCCGCGCGGACTCTCAAGAGGTCCTACCACCAGTTATGCTCTGTAATTGGAAAACTACGTATAAATATAAAAATGTTAATCATGTAAATCGATGTATGTACCTCTCGAGATCCCTTTTTCTGAGTATCGAGGGCCTCGGTTGCGCTGTAATGGAAGTTGTAGAATTCGAGGACAAAAGAGCCGGAGACCGCCTGGTTTCTGGTAATGCCGATGAAGAGTTCACCTGGTTCACTGTTCGTAAACAAGATGTCGAGTAAATGTTTTTACATTTTAGTTATATAATATCGTCTTTTCGCATTAAAAGTGTACAATTTCCAAAAATATTCGAAATTGAGTTAATATGCTGAATCATTTGGCATCACCAGTATTTTTCTCATAAATACTGTCAAAAGAGCGTAATTTAGTTTTAGTTTTTTTTAGTTTACCTATATTTTGATTACTATTAACAAAATTAATACATAATTTTATCTTACTTTAAAAGACATATAATGTAACTGATAAAAACTAAAAAATAATTGTTGCAATGATGATTAATATTAAAAATATCATATTATGTTAAACCTTTAAAACACTCTCCTGTAAAATTTAGTAAGTTTTGAGATTATACAGTTTTAGTGCGAGAAGACGATATCTTTTTTTTTTTATGTCAGTATAATAAAAATGATTTTGTCTTGTGTCTATATATACCTGACGGATGTGTGTGGGATTGCGCGTAAGGTGTGAGCGGCCGATGTACGTGCGCAGTGAGCGCGTGTGCGAGTCCGCCCATAGGAGCGCTGGCCACGTTCGCCGCGAGCGAGAGGCCCGTGAGGCCGCCGTGTCCCAGTCCCGTAGCAGCGGTTGCGACGTGACCCAGTCCCGCGGAAGCCGCGTGACTCAATCCAGCCGAAGCGGGAGCACTGCCGCCGTGTCCTAAGCCCGTCGAAGTGACGCCGGCGTGACCGAGTCCCGCAGAATTAGTCGTAAGACCAAGTCCGGTAGAGGCGATTGTAGCGGCAACAGGCGGGTGCGTGAGGTTGGCGGCGGGCGCGGGAGAGTGCGCGGGGTGAGGGGCGCGGGGCACTTCGTAGTACAGCTGTGTGGGCGCACTGTTACCCACTACACCGCGAACGCCTACACTCGCCACACCTACCACCTTCAACAAAAACAATTTGCAATTTCCATTACATCTATACTAATATATAAATCTACAGTGGTTTTACGGATGTTCCGTTATAACTACTGAACCGTGCATCCGATTGACTTGAAACTTGGTATCCATGTAGAAAATACATGTACTTAAGGGATAGGCTAATATTTATATGAGTGTTGGACTCCATACACCAGTTGCGGGGGCGTTAATGATGAGAATCTTTGTGGGGGTGAGAAATAATAATGTTAATTTTAAATGCCCAGCAAAGCGGACGGGTACAGCTAGTTTTTAATACGACTAATGTCAATACTTGTGTCTGTTATTTGGTTTGTCCTAGATATAGTAAAGTTTACAATATTATAAAGCTGCTTTAGAAAAAATAAAACGACTAAAAAGCATTCAATGTTGCAGATAATGCCTATGGCGGATTTAAGCGTCTTATAACCTTCGATACTTTCTTTAAAACATTTTCCCATTTCAACACCGTGATATTTTTCATTTGCTTAATGTCTAACTCCCATCTAGCATGTTTTAAATGTTATAAAATTATCTCATCATAAGACTCTGTAGAGCTGTATACAATAATCAAGCATGTACTTTTTATACAGAATGGTGGGCACACTTGGGTATTCAACAGCATATAATGCTAGTTGAAGATGGAGTTTATTATTTATCTATCATCACTGAAGCGCTCATTAATGATGGTAGGATGTATTGTTTCCGAACCAGCATGGGTAAGCACCATCCTACCTATTTTTAAAATTAAGAAGTTGCAAATTCCAGTTTGAGGAGTGGGCAGTCATGTAATACAGAACAATTACTGGCTCTTTTAACAATGCAGTGAACTGAAAACAACAAAAATAGCATTGCTGAACCAGATACAAAGTTTAGCTTATCAACACGATACAATGGACTTTCTTTCTGAATTTTCTTATTATTAGAAAACTCACTTTTGCTGGTTGGTAATTTCGCTGCAGCAGTGGTAGAGGTCGAGGTGGCGGTCCTGCAGAAGTAGGGGAAGCTGTTGGCAGCCTAGGACTTAGTCCACGAACTGTGCTTGATATTACACCACTTGCTGTAACATTATGGTCAATATTAATTAATAAATTATTGTAATAAATTTATATCAAACAAATAGCTTTATTATTGTAATTATTGGTGTCTTTGACTAAAACTTACAATTGAGTGTTGAAGTGGTTGGTATTGTGAGTATTGTGGATAGAGAAGCAGGAGCAGGAGTTGATGGTCTTGTTGCATACACCAATGCACTGCGGGCAGTGCGATTGGTGTTTGACCATGTGCTGCCCGAATTCACTGCACATAAACATTAATGTTACTGTTTCATTTAAGAAAATTCTTAATGGTTTTCATATTTTTAAAGAAAAATCTTTTAATTAATTCTGTTGTATCAGGATTATATTTGGAAAAATTAGTAAGATTTAATATACCTAATCCGGAAGATTGAGAGACAGGCGGTGCCACAGGTCTCACTGCAAGGGATGCTCCAGCAGCGAGTCCGCGTGGCACATGACTTGTTGTACTCACAGTTTTGGTCACAAGAACCCCTCCTGAATTACTCACACTTGACAATTGAACAGCTGAGAACAGAAGTTTTCATGGTTTAGTATTTTTGGTTTGTTTTAGAATATTCTAGATTTTGGAATTACTACAAGAATATTTCACATTTTTACCTGGTCTTGTATTATGATGGGTTGATGGTGGTATAACTCTGACTGTAGGAGGTAATGTCCTCACTGATGAGTTTACCACTACATTTCCGGCACCTGTGACAAGCTGTCCTACATTCAGTACCTGGGCACCACTCACTGATGATGCAACATTGGTTTGTATGGTATTCTGCACACTGGCGTTGTTAGATGTAGATGCAGGAGCTGACAACTGAGTTCCTTGACTTATGATTTGTGTAGCGGGACTTATAATTTGACCGCTTGGTGTGATCAGTTGTGATTGGGATATAATTTGTGAGTTTTGTCCTAATATTTGGGACCCTTGGCTGACAATCTGAGTTCCCTGCAATATTGGTGATCCGCTTAATATCATGTGAGGCTGAAAGTTTTAAACAATGTACTGTCTGCTAAAAAAAATATTTTTTTTTGTTTCACAGAGAGCTGAGAAACCCACCACCCATCAGGTAGGAACACATTCTGCTTAAACGAGTAACATAACCTGCACTCCCATATAATTAACTTCCAATCATATTGGTATTAAATTGAATAGCAGCTATATTATGTCTACCAGCTAAAGTAGCTACATTGGTACTTGGTGCAGGCTGTGAGTGTAAATAAATATAAGTTTTTAATGAGATTTGTGATTTGCAGTAGATAAAACATGGCATGCAGGCTTATGGCATACTTTATGGTAAAAGTAATATATACATTTAAAAACATCATTTACAGTTAAATGATGATTGAAATAATAAAGTATAAAATTAAAATATATTTTCGTGCTGCAGTAAAATGTGTTTTCACTTAATCACTTTCACTTAATAATGTGAACATAAATAGTTACTAGATAATATTTTCCTAAGATGATTCCACTTTATTCTTTGCTCTGTTTCTTACAATTATCTTCCCAATTAATATAATACTAATACAATTTGTTTTAGCATTTCTCAGTAATAATTTTATGTATGCATTGGCTAATTTTAGTTTCACACATAAGAAATGCTGTTAAGAATACTGTTTTTTTTTAAATTATGTAATTCTTTCTTTGGTTTGCTACCGATCTTCTAATTGTCTGTAGTTGGCCAAGTTTTGCATTATATAAAAAAATGACAAGACTAAATCTAGACAACTTAAAAATATAACTACAAAACTGTATACACGAGAGAGAGCAAGGATTTATGACAGATTGATAAACTGATAATTGAAATTTATAGCATAATTGTATTACGGTCAAAAATGCGGTCAAGTTGAGTCCGCCTATAACACTGAATGGCGTATTAGTGACAGGATACTATAGTTCTAGATATGAAGAGACGATTTATTTTTCGCAAGTTGTAGAATGGATTCCATTCAGTTATTTTTTAATTTCCTACCCACAAAAGCCATTACATTTAAATCATTATAAACTGGAAATAAAATCGTTTTAAATTTTTCCGGTTGATTTTGGAGTCACTGAAAATACATCCACATTGAAGGTGTGTATAGCTTGGGAATTTAATGTAGGAGTTATTTATGAAATTTTATTTCTTATAATGTTATACATTTACCTGGGAGACAACATTCGGCGCAATAATCTGCGCCAAGCCAGGTCGCATCACTGTCGAACTAGCGTTGGAGTGACCCAGTATGGGGTTAGAACCCGAAGTTTTGGTTTGTCCACTTATTAAATGCGCCATTTTAACCTCATTATTAGTTACATTTTTAACTATAGTGATTTTTTGAGGCGCCAAATCTATTGGGTACATCTTGCCAGTTGTAACAGATCTATCACTTTCCATATTACCACTCATTTTGAATGGGCTGACTTTAATTAGAATCGCTTTTTAGAGGTATTTAGTACCGCATGCTACTTGATTTCATAACTTTATTTATTAATAAAGTTAAAATCTTGTTAACTAAACAAAAACTGAGAATTTGTTTGACCAATTTCTACAAATTTTGACAATAGCACAAAGTAGTAAGTAGCATATTTTTTCTTTGTTTTGTCTACTCAATTGGTACAGGCAAACGAAACAAAGTTGATAGTCTTTTGCAATGTTTGTACGATTGAGTTTTTTACACAATAACTGAAAAAAATATATAAAGAGATTGTAGTTGATTAAATAATGGAAATTTATAAAAAAGTCTTAGACAGACTTTTCAATGATAGCATATATAAATTTTTTATCTGAAAAAAAAAACTCAAGTGACAAAAAAAACCTTTGATAGAAGTGACACATACTTTCACAAGGACCTAACTTTCTCTCGCATGACGATACCCATTTAAGAAATAGCGACAGAAATAAGCAAAGATGGTGGTGTCTACCATGCGGGTTCACAATATCCTTGCACAAGTTTTTGGATTTAATTAAAGCGATGAAAGCCTTCGTGAACAAGCGTTAAGTATGTTTTCTTTAGAAAAATTGGTGACGCTTTATATGTGTACACCCAGCATCTTTATCTTTGTAAAAAGTCGAGAAACCATGACTAGGCCTTTTTCTCTCTCTCAACCCTCTCTCTGTCTTGTGCACTTTCAGAATACTTTGCTGCTACGAAGCCACATTTATAGAAAGCTATTTGGCTTTAAGCCAGAAAAAAACAAATTGACCAAATATAATAATAATTTATTAAATGTATCCATCGAGTCGCCGCCAAAAAGCTCTCAAGACAATGACAAGCATGACAAAACTACTGTCTACGATACGAACGGTGCACGGGTTGTCTTTGGTACGCGATNGCACTTTCATAATACTTTGCTGCTACGAAGCCACATTTATAGAAAGCTATTTGGCTTTAAGCCAGAAAAAAACAAATTGACCAAATATAATAATAATTTATTAAATGTATCCATCGAGTCGCCGCCAAAAAGCTCTCAAGACAATGACAAGCATGACAAAACTACTGTCTACGATACGAACGGTGCACGGGTTGTCTTTGGTACGCGATGGCGGAGCATATTGACTGTAGTGATTTTATGGAAGAAAATATACAAAAATTTAATAATGAAAGGCGGAGTAGCAAACAATGGGTCAAACTTAACGTTGGTGGAACATATTTTTTAACTACAAAAACAACTCTATGTAGGGATCCTAATTCATTTTTGTATCGATTAGTTCAAGAGGATAGTGACTTGATATCAGACAGGGTTTGTTCGATTTCATATTGTCTTTTTGTATGCTAATTAATGTTTCCTTTTATGTTTGTTAATATATTCTTAACATTGTTTCAGGATGAGACTGGCGCTTATTTAATAGATAGAGACCCGACATATTTTTCACCTGTCCTCAATTATCTTCGCCACGGTAAATTGGTGATTAACAATGATATTGCTGAAGAAGGGGTTCTCGAAGAAGCAGAATTCTACAACATTACGGAACTTATAAGATTAGTTAAAGAGAGAATATGTCTCAGAGAGAGAAGACCTTTGAAAGATTCCAAGAAACATGTATACAGAGTTCTGCAGTTTCATGAAGAGGAGCTGACACAGATGGTTTCCACAATGTCAGATGGTTGGAAATTTGAACAACTAATCAATATTGGTTCACAGTATAACTATGGCAATGATGAACATGCAGAGTTCCTTTGTGTGGTTAGTCGTGAATGTGGTAGTACACTCAACAGTAATGACATTGAGTCAACAGATCGTGCAAAAGTGTTGCAGCAAAAAGGCTCACGAATGTGAGCTCTGATTTTACTTTTGTTTATTTTTTTGTGATCATAACTCTGTGTGATGTGTACATATTGTGAAAAGAATAAACAGTCTTAAATAATTATTGGTATTGTAACAAAAGGATCTTACAAGATTAAGGTTGATAATGCAATAATTTAATAGTTAGTAAGTAACTTGTGTTGTCTGAATTTTATGGTAGGAAATACTCAATTGCATAAATTTAGGAAATAGGGAGTAAAATGTATTTTTGAGTCTATAGTTTATTAGTGTATTTAGCAACAGGTTGTACCAGGCAATTAAAGTGACCCATTGGTCCTATATGTCCATACAAAAGTGTGTGCTATTCTCTAGTTTATTATGAAAGGAGAGCGAATTGTATTGTAATTGTGAGTGGATTGTGAATGAAACTCGGAGACTAATAATGTTCTTTGTACATTTTCTGTTTCATTGTTTTGTAATTACTATAAAATAACAATCTGTACCTTAACAATTCCAGATATGCTCACATACCAAACGTAATGGAAACAACATTAAAATGCATTTGTTCTATTAAAAACGTAATTAAGTAAAAAAATTGTTTGTGTTTATGCCTTTATTTCAGTGAATAAGTAAACAATTGACTGAAAACGTAATATGATTTGACACGCCTTCACATATTAGTCTTTTAAAGTTAAGTTCATAACTACACAATATATAAATCTATAACACTATGTTTTAAAAAAATAAACATTAGCACTATTTAAAACTTAATTATATAATTTATTATAAAATTTTGCATTTAAACTGCATTAAATATAAGTTAACAAGACAACCTGTTAGATATTTTATAACATTATTATTATTATCAAAATACAGAAAAGTCACACTCTTAAGGCAATCAGGGGTTTATTGTTGTGTAGTTAGCATTTTATGGTATAAATATACCATTTGTTTTATTTCTTACAGTCTGACCTAGCACCAGTCTGCCATATATGTAAAATCTTCAAACATTTTATGATCTGTGGATGACAGTGGTCTCGGTTCCTTAGGCGGTGTAAGCACAGCTGCTTCAGAGGTAAACTCACTGTCAAAATTGCTAACATCTTCCAAGTGTTTTATTGTTGGCACAAATGGTGGTTTCACTTTACGCAATAACAATTGCTCCCAATCAACATTGCGGAAGAAAGCCTGCTTCTTCACATCTTCAGCATCTCTTTCAGAAGAACCCAATCGTCTTTCTGGGTTTTTCCTTAACAAACGACGCATCAATGCAATAGCTTCTAAAGATAAAGTTCTGGGGTAACGCACTTCATCATTAACGATTGAATCAAAGACTTCACCTTCGTCTTCACCTGGGAATGGCGATTCTCCCACTAACATTTCAAAAATCAATACCCCTAGGCCCCACCAATCAACAGCACGAGTGTAAGATGTTTCTGTCAATACTTCAGGAGCCAAAAATTCGGGTGTTCCACAGAAGGTTCCAGTTCGATCGCCCCATCCCATTCCTTCTTTACAAAGGCCAAAATCAGCAATCTTTACATAACCCTCAGTATCTAATAATAAATTGTCTAATTTTAAATCTCTATATATGATATTATTTTCATGTAAATACTGCAGACCTAACACTACACAGGCTGCATAAAATACTGCCCTCGGCTCAGTGAACACATCAGCATGAATGTGCATCATGAGATCACCTCCAGCTGCATATTCCATAACAAAGCAGACATGTTGTTCTGTTTGGAAACAAGCAAAAAGATTGACCAAAAATGGATGTCTAATTGCATTAGCTACTTCAAATATTCTTTTTTCAGATAACAAAGAATCAACCTCATCTCTTGCTATTATATCACCTTTCTTTAAAGCTTTAATTGCAAAATATTCATTAGTAGGTTTGTACTGTGATAAGATAACTTTTCCAAAATGTCCTCTTCCAAGGACACTCAACAGCCTGAAACTGTCCATAGACATTTCGCCAGATTGCCTTCTGGAATCTTGTTCTTTTCCTATTGTTTCTATTACTGATGATGATCTTGAGGATGACAAACGGATGTTACTTGTTACTTCAACAATCTGGTCTTCATTACTTGGGTATTCAAGCACCAGCTTGGGAGAGGGAGATGGAGGATACTCAACCAAAGGAGTATCACATGATGGAGTTTGTGGTTCCTTTGAAACATAATGGTCTCTGGTGTAAGAATCTTCTAAAAATGCAAAGGCTTCTTGGAGCTCCTTTTCCATTCTGAGTGTAGAGACATTAGGAGGAGGTTGAAGAGGCAAAGTAGGTTTTGGGGGTGGCACTGATGGAAGTTGTGGAGTTGGTGTTGAAGGTAATCCTAAGGGCCTTACTCCAGCCATACCCCCAAGTGTAACATTAGGATTTTCAATTTCTCTATTATCAAACGTGGCAGATTCGAAACTGTGTTGTTGTGATGTAGTTATATGAGCATTTTGAATATTTTGAATGGATGGAGAAGATCTCTTGAGTAACCTTCCTAAAACAACAGCAGGAATATGCATATCGCCATAAGATGGTCTTGGAATATTTTTTCCTTGTTGTTTGAAAATTTTTCTCTGGCGTTGAAGTTTAGGTTTACGAGATATAATAGGATTAAGAAACTTTATTTCAGCAAAAAGAAGTCCCTGTGGTTCAAGTTCTAGAGCCATTCCATGGCGTATATCATCAATAAATTCTTCTAATCTCAAAAACTTGATAGCACATAAACCACGCCAGTCTTTCCAATGTATTCCAATTTCCAACTCTCTTGACTTGTCTAATTTGATAGTGAATCTGAAAATTTTCATAAAATTCATAAGTGCTAAAACAATGTATTAGCTATCATCAACAAAACTTGAAATATAAGGATTTTTTCATGTACTGATCTTGCAGATTTTCTTAAAAACATATCAAAGTTTTTGGATAATTTTTTGAAGCATCATAATACAAAAAAAGATTTGTTGGTAGGGAACGCAAAAATAATGAGATTCTATTTTAACTGTTAACATTTATGATTTCATAGAAATTTTAGTCATAGCACAAATATGCCTAAGTATTGCTCTTGATAAGATAATGAGTAATAGCAAAGCGCCCAAAAGATTATAATTCAAGGTAGCAAGTTTGAAAGATAAATGTAATTAAAGGTTATATAATAAGTATGCAAGTGAAATACAAAATAAGAACATTTAGGAAGAGCATAATTACATTATNGTTAACATTTATGATTTCATAGAAATTTTAGTCATAGCACAAATATGCCTAAGTATTGCTCTTGATAAGATAATGAGTAATAGCAAAGCGCCCAAAAGATTATAATTCAAGGTAGCAAGTTTGAAAGATAAATGTAATTAAAGGTTATATAATAAGTATGCAAGTGAAATACAAAATAAGAACATTTAGGAAGAGCATAATTACATTATTTAAAGAATAATTTTGTTATTAAAATAAATTGTTTCAATATATAATTTTTTTGTTTAATTATTATTTGCATTGATGGACATCATTAAATTATTTTAAATTATTATAGGTATTATGATGTATTTAAGCAATGTTCAAATTTGAAATTAGAGTTTTTTTGACATTTTACTTAAAAACCAAGACAAATGAATCGTTTATGTGCTTTTATTACTATTTAAATGTTGAACTCACCTTTGATCCCAAGCTTGTTGAGAGCAAGGTCTCCAACTTGTCTGAGCAACATTGTGATTGTCCAGCTTTAAGACTGCCATTATTTCATTGCTGGTGTCTTCTTTTATACTGTAAGTATATTTCATTGAATTGCGTATGGTTACTCCTTTAACAAAGGACTTCAGATCTGATGGGCTGGCTAATGGATCACGACGACTGCGACCTGGGACATCATCAAGAAGATCTTGACAACCCATCAATCTCACTTCGAGTGTACCAGTGACTTGTACACAAGGGCTAATCAAAGGTGCAGATGACAGAAATTGAGTTCTTGATCCACTTCCTCCAGACAAGCTCACATAGCCTGGACTTGAGGCAGTACTGCGTAATTCATGACCCAACTCTACAAAAGCTGCACTTTCAGCAGGTAGTTCCTGCCTACGCATATCCAATGACCTACGGAGCAAGTCTAGTTTTTGTGTTGATTCTAAGAGTTGAGTCTGAGCTTCTTGCAAAGCTTTTTTGTCAGTCAATTTTTTGTCACTCTGTAACAGTCTAATGGCATTTTTAGAGCCTTCTACAACAGCTGCTTCAATTCTGAGACGATTTCTGAGCTCTGCAATTCGTTCATCAAGTAATGCATCAACACCACTCATATCAGAATTCCTACCATCACCATTTGCTCCAGCAGTATCACCTTTTTGCTGTTTGGTCAGTTTTGAAATGCGTAATTTTAAATATTCAATTTTGACTTTTGAATCAGCCAACATTTGATGTGCTTCCGCAAGCAGCTTTTTGTCTCTAGACTGGTTGCTATTGCTAATGCTCTGTATCATATTTTCAGCACCTTGTTTTACCTTCAATTCAATGTTTAGCTGTTTCTCAAGTGATGCAAGTTTGCGATCTGTAGTTGCTTCTCCAAGCTGTCTTTGTTGTTGTGCTGCTTCAGATGCTAAAATGATTTCTTCGTCATAAGACAGATCTTCTGGTGATGTTGGTGTTGATTGTCCACGAGATAATAGGAGCTGCGATTCTAGCTCCTGCAGATCAGATTTGAGTTCATTAAGTTTGATGTTTGCTTTCTTAACAATATTGGCGACATCCGATAGAGATCTCCGATCTGTAGCTACCTCACGAAGTTTCTCGGCACCTTCCTTTATTTTAAGTTCTTTTCGTATTTCTCTACGTATGACATCTTTGAGCTCCTCTAATTTCGACGGCAATGCTATTTCTGGAATACACTCAGTCTTGATTCCGTACTTGACACCGAGTTCGTGAAGAACTGGGTGTCGAATATAATCACTATGATAATAACCTGGGTCTGCCATAATTGAGGATGCACGGTGTAATGTCAGATAACCATAATTATGTAGGAAAATCTCACTACTAGAGCTTCGGGTATTCACAAAGGCTTAGCTGAAGTACGGTACACTTCAAACACAATATGCATTGAATTGGTAAAAAATATCATGGTTTGTCAAGTTTCCAATTAAAGATCAAATAAATTATGTGCTATTAAACCCACAAAACAAAACAGTTTACAAATCAATCTATTGAAATCAACGAAACGACGACTCAAAGACATTTTCTTCTAATTTCAAGTTCATCCAATTGGTAAGGCAAAGAAGGTTACGACTATAGGGTCAAATCTTTGATTTAACGATTCCAAGGAGGCATAGTCTGTTGTTTCTATTACTGCCTTCGATCAAAAATTTTACTTGATAAATTATCAAAACCTTGGTGCCAGTTTACCTTTAAGATAATTTGAAAGAAAATACGAAGTTATAATGGAAGTTAATTTATCCAATAATTAGATATCATATTCGCTAGATTGAATCCCGTGAGATCGTCTACACGTTAGGTGAAGCTGGTATAGCCCCTCGACGCTACCAGCATAGTATGCAGCATAGGTAGGGGAAAAATAAAACACGTGTGGCACTCGGGGACTGCCGCGGTAAAGCTATAACATAGCATTTTTATCAACTTACGCAATTATAATTAGACAATAATAATTTAATATTAAAAAAATAAAATCAAATAAGTCCACGCTATATTTATAAACATTAACAAAAGCAAAACAATAATTGTCCCCTTCACACTCATAAACTAGACCGCGCGAGAGAGAGATGGGCAGACTTTTCATGATTCGCATGCAGTGCGACGTGACGTCACGCCGCGCGCTTATTCACAAACTACACAAGTGCAACGTGTGAATGTGTTGAACACGAGCTACATGGTAGGTGGAGTGGATGGTGTTAGGTTTTATTTTCGTTACGGAATTTCTTGATTCGGTCGCCATGTTCAAAGCCCGCGATAAAAACTATGCAATAGCTTAAAAGAATTGACGGTTTACCTGAATGTAATTACGTTTGTGGGCTGATGATGATGATGACTATTAAATACCACGGCGTGAATATTGCAACTCACTATGAAGTACGAGATCGAAGTCAGTTGATGAAACGAAAATCACTACTGACTTCAGTTGATTTTTTGGCGGGAACGTGAGGACCGAAACTATCTGAATTGTTTTGTTTTGTTATTTTAGTATTTGGTCAGGCTTACACATGTAATAACGGTGGTCTATTAGCTGTTTATTATGTGTGCATTGTTATTTATGCACTTATGAATGCGGAAAAATGAAAATGTTACTTTCCGGGTTCTTTAAAAAAGCCCGCTAAATTTTGTGTATTTGTAACCACCATTTTAATGAGACTTTATTTCATCCCCTCTCGTCCTGTTTCATTTAATTTCATCTTCATTAATTAGTCTCAATTAAATTATTTTCACCTCATTTCATCCATATAATTTTTTCACTTATCTATATTTATATATATTTATAATATAATATGCATAACAAAATACATAAATAAACATTAAACATATTTCCTAAAGGCTCTGTGGTGTGATATCTTCGCCTTTGCTATTTGAAGACGGAACTACTACTACAAAATCACTGTCACCTGGCTTTCAAGTAGGAATTTTATTTGCGGTGTTTGTTTCCTAACTTTCACTAAGTCTAAGTGATGTGAAAGATCCCCAGCATATCTGTTTTTACCTTTTTATTGTAATCGTACAACCATCATGTAAAACATATGTTCTATCAATAAGCGAAAAATTTAGATAGAATTGAAAGGCTAGCGTAACTACTGTCTGTCACGGTACCTACTCATCGCTCAATTCTGCAACTGTCACATTTACAAGAGCTAGGTCATCGTCTCATGGAAAAATAATGCCAGTGAAAGTAGACATTACACCACCTCCACCAGCTAATTCAAAACAACCTGGTGTGACAAAATCCCTCCTTTACAACGGCTCTAAATTTCAAGGACATCAAAAAAGTAAAGGCAACTCTTATGAAGTCGAAGTAGTTTTGCAGGTTAGTCACAATAACAAAGTACGCAATATTGATAAACAACATTTTATCGTGTTTCTGTGGATGTAATTGTAAAAGTTTATAAAGTAATTACTTTAAGACTTAGCAATCACATCTATGTTTTGAACAAATGGGGCTCAAAGGCTTATTAAATTTTTGTTAAAGTATATAATTTTAGAAACTTATGTAACTTATTTTTACAGCACGTAGACGAAGAAAATTCATACCTTTGTGGATATTTAAAAATAAAAGGTTTAACAGAGGAATTTCCAACACTCACAACATTCTTTGATGGTGAAATAATTTCATCCAAATATCCCTTTCTAACAAGAAAATGGGATGCTGATGAAGATGTTGATANAATTTTTGTAAAAGTATATAATTTTAGAAACTTATGTAACTTATTTTTACAGCACGTAGACGAAGAAAATTCATACCTTTGTGGATATTTAAAAATAAAAGGTTTAACAGAGGAATTTCCAACACTCACAACATTCTTTGATGGTGAAATAATTTCATCCAAATATCCCTTTCTAACAAGAAAATGGGATGCTGATGAAGATGTTGATAGGAAACATTGGGTAAGTGTAGTTATCTAATTTTATAATAAAAACACTTTAATAACATAGTTTGTAGGACTGTTTAAATTTGTTTCTTTTTATTTCTTTCTAGAGTAAATTTGACTTATTTGTACCATATTTAAAGACTTTCAACTCGGATTCATTTGATTATGAGTCTCTAGCAAAGGCTGATTATGTGTTTATGAGATGGAAAGAACATTTTTTAGTTCCGGATCATACAATAAAGGATATAAATGGTGCTTCTTTTGCTGGTTTTTATTATATATGTTTTCATAAGTCTGCAGCCACAATAGAAGGATATTATTACCACCGGAGCTCAGAATGGTAAGTTATGACAATTTCATTTTAAAAAAAATCTATAAATTAAAATGCAAGATTATTAAGTTTATTAGAAGATATGAATAAGAAATTATTATTAGACTAAATTTAGAAAATTTAAGATACTATGAATTCACTCGAAAATAATATTCGTGTTCTACATAATTTAATTTTTATTCATTAGTTAATAACATTATTAAACTGTACTTGTAAACTGTAAACGTTTACTGTCATTGGTAATTGTAAAAGATAGAAAGAGGTGGATAAATTTAAATATTTTTGTACAAATTATTTTTTCACTTTGAATTTATTGTATATATTTGTTAACGTAACTTTTTAAATGTAAACTTTAATCCACTCCTGCTCTTGGGCCAATATACTATAATATAATATAATAATATAATAGCTTGGTTCAATTTGGTTACAACTTATCGTCACTGCAATGTAAGTTGTTATTAATGCAAAGCCAAGTTAACATCTTAGGTACATTACAGATGTCATATGTCCTCAAAGTAATACCACACAGGAGTGATAGCAAATAATAGGTTTATATTCACCTCAAACAGTACAGTAGATACCTAAGCATTTTGAAAGATACTGAATCAGTAATATTCAACGTAGGAAATAGGGTCAGAGTTTGTTCAGATAATAATGTGATGTCACATGATGACAGATATTGGAAAATAGTGATTGTGGTTTGTGTGACACAGGATTATATATTTTTATTTTCTGAATATTCAGTCAGCTCAGCTATATATAGTGCTGTGTTTTTAATGCTAGGGTCATATTTTTGTGTAATGTGAGTCAATTTGCCATATAGAACTGGGAGTTTAAATGGTTAATTTAAAAGAATACCAGTATATTCCATATGCTTCATTTGCTAAGAACTTTTTTAAATACCTTCACATTTGTTTGTTATTGCTTAATTTTGAATTCGAGATTGTAGGATAACAGGAAAAGCTTCACTAGTAACATCTGCACAAAATAATCAAGTGGAATTTAAACAACTAATAAACTGTAATAACTATTTTTATATTTTCAGGTATCAGTCATTGACTTTAAGTCATGTTCCTGAACACAGCATTCAAATATATGAGTTCAGATGAAAATATTTGTTACTAAAATTTGGAACAATATTTTTGTGTCTACTAGTACTTACTTGTTCATAAAAAAGAAAAGTATTTGTTAATATTCAGATGCAGAAAAAAAAGATGGTTCATTTCACCAACAAAAATCAATTAAAAACATTTAAAAAAAACTAAACAAAATGAGACATGTCTGTTCTTGCACATATTTGAATAACTGAGATTCATTGTTCTTGTTGATCGAGAAAAATGAGTGTATTATTTGAAATTTTTCATTGTATTACTTAGTGTAATTATGTAGATAAAGAAGTAAGTTTCATGATGCTGCGTATGTGATAATTTGTACAAATGACTTGAATGTAAGTAGATTATTGTGTTGCTAGTCGTTTTTTTCTATGTAGTGTTTTCCCAGCTTTTTTCTGTTTAGTATCAAACGGCTTCCATTTTTGTGGGCTGTGATGATATAGAGTAAATGCCTATTAAGATCAATTATTGCTGCCTTATCAGTATCAGTTTTTTTGTTTATGGCATAAATAGCAATTTTAGTCCAAAGTCATCTTAGCTTCCAATCAAATTTAATGAAATATGTGCAGGATCAGAAAATTTTGTTGTACAACTTGATGAACAGACAGAACAGACCTTAATTTTAAATGTAGTATCAAGAATTCAATATGATTTTATTGAAGCATTGATAAATACGTTTTTTTAAATAAAACATCTTATAAATAAGTTACTTGTTTGATTTATGGAGATATAATGAAAATACGAGTTCATTAGATTTCATTTTAATTCAACACATTTATTTACAATTAAATACTGGCATATAATTTCATGATTTAAATATTCATTGAAATTCAGAAATATTATTAGTAATTATATTTTTCTATATAGTATGATGACTGTTCCTAAAGTATTCTTTGTTTTGTATTAAACCTATCAATGAAATGTAGAATAGTATACACAAAAGAAGTAATTAATTATAAGTGAATTAATTTAGGTTTCATATTCAATAATCAGCATTTTACTAAAGTTGATGATTAAATATAATGTTATAATTTATTTAGTCCACCTAAAGCACATAATTTTTGTACTTAAAATTAACGAATAATAAATATAACACATAGGTAGTTAGCCGATGAAATTTTACTAAAGTAGCACTAACCGATTTGCTATTTTACTACACACTGGTTTTAGAATATAAATACCTATCTCAATGAGTTTTCATTCACCACACATATTGGCACTAAACAATTTTTATAAAGATTTAGTGTTGAGATGTTTGAAAAGTAGATAACATTGGTTAAAATTAAATAATGGATAATATATTTTTAGATAAATATAAAAGCAAAATGTTCTATATTGCAAACTTTGAATTAAAAATAAAATCATCAAAATAGTAGGTATACATAACTAGATATTTATTTAGAAAAATACATTTAACAATTCTATATTCTAAATTGAAGCTTAATACTTGATAAAACTAACTTAAACTAAGCTTTGGTGGGATCGTTAATGTTTATTTATAGTTCGGTATTTTAGGTATCCAGCCCTTACGTTAGCGTCTCAATGCGTAGTCTTTATTGTAAGCTACATTTACGTCCTCCATGCAGATAACAAGAAAACCTGCAAGTTATTTATTAAATGTGTACATTTTGCTTATAATTCAAGGCAAGTTTGTATTCAGCTCTAAAGAAATAGATCGTGTAAATCTATTGCACGACTCTTAAGATCCAAATGTAAATTTAGGTGGGTTCAACAGTGTCCGAAGCATTTAATGTTACAAGGAAGCATTTAGTTACTAAATCTAGGTACATAATAATTCAACAGAATTGATTTTCACAGAGCAAATAAGTAATTTATCAAGGTTGTACATTTGAAAATATCAATTAGCTACAGGCAAGCTAATCATAGACGTGCCTAACTGTAAAAGGAAACAATAAAATCTATATCGAATAAATATCAATCAGTGATTATTTAGAACAAATTTACATTAACATAATTAAAACAACGATAATACTATATTGTGTGAACAAGTTCAGTAGCAAATAAAACAAAGTAGAAAATATTTACATAACTTAAAATACTTAACAAAAAAGAACTATGACTGTAATATTTGGCTTTGAAATAAATAATTTAATTTAATGAAAGCTATGGATAACTTGAACCTGCAAAATGTTTACATACAAAATGTTACGGTACAGTTACAGTCAGGTATTAATAATAGGAACCAGGGTCATAATGTTTAAATGAAAATTTAAATTGTTAGTTCCATCGATTATATCACCAATCCTATGCAAGAGAACAGGTAAGTTTATATTTAAGTACAAACTATAAGTTACTTTAATCATTAGAGAAATAACTTGATCCATAGCATTCATTATATTATGTCGTCGGGTAACATCGAATTAACTATTTGAAGAAGCAAACTATCTTTTCGTAGTGTCTTCACTACTAAACCAGTGCCTGAGTCCAAGGAGACTATAGAGATCTTGGCTGTCGTGAGATCTTTGTGGGTTTGAATGATGTTGTACTACTCTATGAATGTACCGCCTCAGTTGTTCCGGGTATGGTTCTTGCATTCCAGGATATACTCCGAATTCGCGAGGTCTAAAGTTGTGAGGGTAAGAATGATGATGACGTCGTGGGTTTTCGTGTCCATTGTAAACCCCCCCAAGTTTGTTTTGTCCCGGCCAATAATCCTGAAGTTGTTGGAAGGGGTAACCGGGTGGAGGAGAGCGAAACTGTTGGTTTGGCCACGGGTAGCGGTATATAATACCTTTATTAACAAACTTCTCGCGGTCAGGTATATTGTGCCCTATGTCTGTTGATAATGGACCAAACGATATTTCAGCGCTTCCTGACTGTGGCCTGTTACGACGATGTTGTAGTTTAGTACGTGTTCCCAGTACACCTTCCTCTTTGAATTGCTGATTCTTTTGATCTTTGGAAAAATTATCGTCAGTCGTCACTTCTGCGTATCGACTAATCAATTTTATAGCCTCACCAATATCAGAATAGTCGTTTTCAGGGTTAAGTTTAGATTGTTCTCCGTTTTTAGACAAAACTTGCTGTGTTTGTGACGCTACTTTAACGTCGGTCTGCTTATGTTCTTCTTTCGTGTGGGAACCTAAATTACTTTCGGTACTTGCATTGATTTCCAAAGTGTCTGTTTTTGGTATATCATTTTTCTTGCTAGTACTATCCGTTAGTTGTTGTTGGTTTCCGTAAAGTATGGGATCAATGTTAACGTGTCCATATACAACTTCTTTTTGACCTTGGTCAGCCATATTATTGATAGTTTCTATTTCGGTAGCGTTCAGTGGGCTATCACGTTTGGGTTTCTCCGCGAAGTGGAAATTAGTCAATACGTTATGATTCAACACACCTGCACCGTCTGGCAGACCAGTGTCGTTATGCGAGTGTTGTAGTTTTAGCAGTTCTAATTCAGCTTCAATGCTGGCGTCTGAGACTGGCTTATTCCCATCTTTCTTGTTGATATTGTCATGGCTGCCTTGTGAAGCCTAAAAAGGAAACATCAATTTGTTAAAAATTAAAATGTCTAGAACACTTATTTGTCAGAAATATAAGTAACAACACAAATACTTTAAATAAAATCAAATTCTTAGTGAAAATTGTCAGATGCGTTGGTTCCCTTCATAACTTTAGTCTATTTATCGACCTACATACAGCAAATTACTGCTCATCGAAATTAATTATTTTAAAATCTTGTTTAAAGACATACATGTCAACCTCATGATGATTGATCGAAATTAGCCCCCAAAAATTTACTTTTTCTAAACTAATTATCTATTTTTATTGCTTCGTTATATGAATATAACTGTTTCGAATCCAATACAATCTTACAATAATTTAACGATGATTAATCTATATATCGCTAAAACTCGAGAACGGCTGGACCGATTTGGCTAATTTTGGTCTTGAATTATTTGTGGAAGTCCAGAGAAGGTTTAAAAGGTAGATAAATATGACAATGCTCGGAATTAAATAAAAATAACAATTTTGTTTTTACCTTTGATGTGTCCCCCGTAGGACGGATTCGTTTTGTTTGTTTTAAGTTTATTTTATACAAAAGTGTAGGTCTTTTATTTCTCGATTGAGGCACTACGAAGTCTGCCGGGTCAGCTAGTTCTAATAAAAATATAGAAAATATTGATTGCTGCTAACCTGATCCGATAGTCCTTGACCTTGAAGAGGTGCAGCCAGCGGATCCAATCCTATAGGAATAGAGAGCTGTAATGGGCCAGGTTCGTTTTCGTCATAGTTGTCATAGTAAGTAACATCTCCGCTTAAAGTTGGCTTGAACTGTGCGTTCAATTCCTCTAGCAGGATGCGTTCGTGTTCATCTTTATTAACAGTCACCGTCTGGAATAATAACAAGAAGAATAATTAGTTAACTAAACACGCTCATGGCTTTATGGTGTCGGCCTAGATTATCTCAGCTCTATCTCATCTCTACCCGTGGGTGTCGTAAAAGGCGGGTAAGGGATTCATTATAGAATGAGCGGTAGCGTTTTTTTTATTGCTTAGACACGTCCGCTTAAACACGGACACGTTCACGGTCTACTAGGTGTTAAGTGGTTACGAAACCCCAGAGACATTGCTATGTGAATGTCGCAATGTCTCTGGGGAAACTCTTAATTGTATTGTATAATTGCTGTCTCAATGCTTTTTTTTTTATTGCTTAGATTGGTGGACGAGCTCACAGCCCACCCGGTGTTAAGTGGTTACTGGAGCCCATAGACATCCACAACGTAAATGCGCCACCCACCTTGAGATACAAGTTCTAAGGTCTCAAGTATAGTTACAACGGCTGCCCCACCCTCCAAACCGAAACGCATTACTGCTTCACGGCAGAAATAGGCAGGGTGGTGGTACCTACCCGCGCGGACTCACAAGAGGTCCTACCACCAGTAATTACGCAAATCATAATTTTGCGGGTTTCATTTTTATTACACGATGTTATTCCTTCACCGTGGAAGTCAATCGTGAACATTTGTTAAGTACGTATTTCATTAGAAAAATTGGTACCCGCCTGCGGGATTCGAACACCGGTGCATCGCTTCAACACGAATGCACCGGACGTCTTATCCGTTAGGCCACGAAGACTACAAACCGGAACAAGGCATGGCATTACACCAGGTAAGCAATGAGCTCGTTCACTCATTCGCGCAATAAAAAAATAGTTATGAAAAGAAATGACGAAGAAAATGACAATTTTCTATTTCACTATTAAATAATTTCGCGATTGTTAATTTATGAATTTACCTGAACGCAACCGTTTCCATCCAGTCTTTGTCCTTTCGGACAAACGAGAGGAGTTATGAACAGAGATTTTGTAGTTATTCTCCTCCGCGGCGCATTTGGGTTACCGCTTTCAGGACTCTGAAGCCAGGATTTCCATGCGAGTTCAGCGGCGAGGCGGTCGAGGGTACGTGGTGGCGGCCTAGTCGTCGTGACCACAGCCGGGACCACGGCCTCAGTAGTAGTCACCTCGACTTCTGCCGCTTCCACTAGTGCGCACGACACCAGTAATAACGTCGTCCACGTGTACCACATCGCAAACACCTGAGGACAATAAAATTAGGTGAATTGACAGTCGAAGGCTCTATACATCATACAAGATATTTATTCACTCGGGTACAAATTATATGTTTCTGGCCGAAAACTTTCCGCAACATCGGGATACAGAAATCCTTGACCTGACCACTCACTAGGCTTTAAAAAGCATTTTGGTTTCGTCGTAAAAAAAAGAGTTCAAAACGGATCAAAGTATGGTCCAAATACTTTGAATGCCTAACCTTGAAGTCCTTTATTCTTTGAAAAAGCGAAAGCAACTTAATGATGGTCTACACTATATTTGCTAGACCGTCCTTGCTTTTTCACGTGCCTATATAAATTTCATGTTTCAATTGAATAGTCGATAATTGTTGTTATTAAAAACGTATTGCTCTATATAGACACGAATGCACTAGCCACATGGTATAGGTAATGTTGATACCAGTACTATGTCAATGCCGGCCACCCATTATGAAGTGTAAGTCGTAATTGAATTATATAACGGCTGTACCATCTTTTGAACCGTAACGCATGTCAGCTTCGCGGTAGGAATAGTTTGGACAGTGGATAATTACTGCGCGCGGCCTCACAACATATCACCCATAACTTTATAATTTTATTTTTTATTTATAACACGGAGTTATTCATTCTTACAAGGTAGAACGTAGTCGGAAACACGTGTTCGGCGTATATCCTGAAAATAATGCGTGCATACCGGCTCGCAGTAGGTACGTCTATCAGTATAGTATAGAAATTAGGAAAATTAGCTAGGAAATTTAGGTGAGGAAAGCACGTATCACATAATGTTCGGATAGCCAGTGAGGTATAGTGACCTATCTTCTGATTAATAGTCGGAGATACTATTATTTTGTAAGATCGTCTTTTGATGCCTCCATATGTATGGCAAAGCACAGCTTATCTGAGTTTACGAAATATTTTATCAAGGCCCAATAAATAATTCCTTTCACTATTCGTATAATATAATACTGTAACGATCACTTGTTCATATCGAAATGTAATAATTCCGACGTAAATACTATGATCGCGAACAATTTTATATTTTATTTTATTTATACGGATATAGGTACTAAAGCTAGGTGTGAAGATGTCATATTTACTGATGATAGCTTTTGTTCGATTTCACCCGTTTTAATAATTTAGTGCGTAAAACAAGAGCAATGGCTGTTGACCCCGTCGCGATCTATCGGCGGCATCTGGCAATGATCTCGCATAAAGACGCCGTAAGCGCAGTAACGCACGCGGAAGCTACTCGCGGGAATTGACCGTATTTCAATAGCTGCTTCATTGAATCTTATTTTTCAGACAAAACTTGCTACAAGAACGCCATTAGCAAACGTGAGCACTGAATGTTTGTCCGGTGCAAAGAAAGTCTCTCGTTGGCTTATGATGTTTTAACATTCTCGAGACGTCTGACTCAATGAGATCGTTCTGTTTACATAAAACAGACGCTGGGTATTCCGATGTATTATTATCTGCGCGAACCAAATCCTCGAATGTTGAACCCTACCTTGACATGTATGCGAGAACGAGACAAAACTGTCGCGGAAAAGGTGTGTCGGCACAGGGCTGTACGCAAATAGCTTTGTAGCCAATTTGACTCGAGTGGTCCTCGGAATGGAGCGTCCAACGCAAGAAAAGGTAGACTTTATAAATATAGTAATAAAAGTAACTACGCTCAGTGAAATGAAAGCTTGCAGAGAAAATTCAATTAGTGTTGCAATCGGGATAGAATTAGAACTCTGGCTTCAAGTGCCGCACTTGAAGCGGTTTTGTCATGCTTTTGGTAAAGACGGTTTATGAAAAACAGTACCCTAGCTGAGAATATTTAAAAAAAGAAATCCAAGTCGGTGTAGGGGCAGAGAAAAGACCGTATGTTTTCGTTGTTACGGTTGAAGAGCGACCCTTTTGGCATCCAGAAATATGTTTCTCTAGAATTTGAATAAAAAAATCATAACCACGTCAAATTTTTTGTGAGAAAAATCTCCTGATTCGCTTTTGAGCCAAAAAGTACAATATATAAATTTAGAAATAAATGTCCGGCTAAATTGATATGTCGACCTTGCCATTGAAAAGTTAATTCGTTTGGAGGCGTCTACGATTTACGAAAATGCGTGACTGGTTACATCTGAATTCACATGTTTCGATGACCATTAGTGCCCATTGTGTGGTAATAGCAATGAGCTTCGTGAAAGTGGTGGGTGCTAACTGGACGTGCACGATTCTGACCGTATTTGCAATAATACACGACTATTACGGTATTTTATTTTGTATCGAAAAATAAAACAATAACATTCAATGTTTAGTTATCCTTAAATTATTTATAGTTTTTCCGTTAAAAGTAATAATAAAATGCAAAATTAATCTTAAGACGAAACTCCAGATAATGAAGGCAGATAGATGGTAGTGCCAGTGATTTCTAGCACGATTACCCTAAAATATCATGTTTTATTTCTCTCTGTGTTATGTGCGTTGGAAGCAATGTAACAAAACAACGATTTTTTAAAGCTCGAGATTTACGATTTGTACTTTCTGCTAACTGTTTTCGTGTTATATCACGACTTTCCGAAATATGAACTAATTAAAACGAGTTTTTATACTTAGGCTAATAATACTTCATTAATGTTTCAGTTTCCGTACATCCTGTACAAGCGCAACGTCGAGAATTCATGTTTGTTCTTAAAACTTGGAATGCATGCAAGACTGCACGTAACATTATTAACAGAAACAGTTTTAATTTACACATTAGTTGCACAAATTGGTCCATTTGAAAACGAAGGAATTCAACAGTTTTCATCTTAACTGTTCTAGTAAAACTAGTTTTTTTTGTTGTTGTTGTTGTTGTAAAACTCATTGTATTGTCCATTAAAGGAGACATTTGTCATTCGTTAGTGACCGTTATAATATGTGGTGTTAACTAGTCACCACGGCTTAATGTCACGACCGTCACAGTCAAACACTCATGAGAATGGGGTTTTCGACGTAAATTAACGTCCATAACAACCAAACAATGTTACTTACGTACAATGTTTTACTTACTTGATACTAGTTAAAGCTCTTGGTTTTGATCTAACTATCCTGTAAAACCTTTTGACATGATAATTGTATTGGAATTCTTGCTTTGTTACACAGTTATTGGTAGGGCGTCTTGTAACCCCCATTGGTAGGTACCACCACCCTGTCTATTTCTGCCGTGAAGCAGTAATGAGTTTCAGTTTGAAGGATGGGGCAACGGTTGTACTGTAAATAATGCGACTTGAAACTCATGTTTTTTTTTATTTTATTTTTTTATTGCCCTTGTAGGCAGACGAGCATACGGCCCATACCTGATGGTGAGTGGTTACCGTCGCCCATGGACTTCAGCAATGCCAGGGGCAGAGCTAAGCCGCTGCCTACCGCTTAATACTCTCAAGCCTCGTTTGAAGAAGGACATGTCATAGCGCTCGGAAAACACCGTGGAGGGGAGCTCATTCCATAGCCGGATGGTACGTGGCAAAAAAGACCTCTGGAAACGCACTGTGGATGACCGCAGTGGCTCCAGGTAGTATGGATGAACTCTACTCCGGTGGCGGGCGGTGCGATGGTAAAAACGAGATGCCAGTATCATCTCGAACAATTCCTCATGTTTTATGGTAAGTGGCGGCATTTACGTAGTTGATGTTTATGGGCTCCGATGATAATTTAAGACCAGGTGGGCCGTGAGCTCGTCAACCCATCGTAGCAATAAATAAAAATAGTTATTGATGTAAGCCCCATTTACGAATACCTACCTAGACTTGACATTGTCACCTCTGAATAGGAATTAGTGGTAGGGTTCTGATGGTAAGGTTAGTATACTACATCAACGTTGTTCAAAGACAACACCGGACGAACGATGAGGAGTTAGCAGTAGTAGCTATTAGCTTCTGTGAATTTAGTTAGCTTGAGTAAGTTTAGTAAGATTCAGGAAGTTTTTTATGTTCCAGTAAGTAAACTTAGAAAGCTCATTAAGGTTGAGTAAACTTAGTAAGTATGAATAAGTAAGTAGTAAACCCGCAATCGAAAACGAAGGTAGCTTGCATATATGCCCCATGTACAGACTAGTCCATGGACGTTTTTTAGATCGCAATTTTCAGTAGTTAGTATCATGTCAAAATTTAGGAGCCCCACGTTCTCTCTATTATTTTGAGGTACGGGTTTAATAAAGCAGGACATATCGCTTTATTTATCTATCTATGGTTTGTTTGATGTTAATGGATCAAAATACGTTGATACGAATCTAATTATGTTTAATAGCTTTGAGCTTCGCAATGAATTGTATTACAATATTTTTAAATTATTATATAGTTGTTACTATAAAATTAAATTATTATACTGACTTCGTTGTGTAGTAGTTAGCGGCCTTGACTGTTGCGTTGAGTGTCGTAGGTTCGATTCCCATATCGGGCAAACATTGTGTGATGAACAGGTTTGTTTGCTTTTTGTCTAGGTTTTTATTATCTATATATGTATATATTAGCGCAACGTCACTGTTTAGTTAACTAAAAATAGTTAATGTTAACTTTTTCCTTAAAGCTACACATGTCAACAACTGTTTAAGACGGTATTCAAGAGAATTCATGACTACCCCCACTTTGTACTATAAATGCGATTGACTATTGTCGCGCAAAACATTCTGACTCGAGCAGCCGACTGAGGTGGAGCTCTCTGTTTTTATCGCTGTACACTCGAAATACAATAAACGGAATTCATTGAAAAAGTGAGTCTTAATTACTCTCACTATGGAAGGCAATCATAATGATGAAGAGAATGTCGTCAGCGACATTGACGTCATCATTTTAAAAACACAATGAAACCAGTCACTGCGTCATATACATTTAAACATATATAAGTATATATGTCAGTCTCTGGTGCCTATAACACAGGGAATCCCAGGGGCCGGATGATCGTGCGTGATTTGTTCCTAGTTATTATTATTATTATTGTATTGTTACGTTAAATAAGAGATCGTAATTGAAATGAATAAACGATCGAGAAAAGGTCAAGATTAAAAAACTTTATTCAAAGTGTTTAATTGTCTAGTTAACGTGAGTAAGAATGTACTTGCAAATTAGTGAAGTGTTGGCCTCCATAGGTGTGAAGAGTAATTGGAAGCTAAACTCTCGTGGACAAGTGTGCCGAGATCAGTGGCCGACCTACTGATAAATAATGAAACAGTGTGACAAGTTTGATGTGATACTTCACTATCGTTCCTACATTTCGTTGTACCGAGTTCCGTCACAACTACCCTGGTACCAACCGACCATATGAATTAATGCGCTTGGATTAAAATATATGAGCGTAAGAGAATTTATGAAAATGTTGCCTGTAATTTTTGTAGGCCAAGGTTGGATATATAGCGAAATTTTTTCATTTCACTATGGTTGGAAAAAACGCTAACTCCGCTTCCTGTGTCTAGAGGAAACCAACCTTAGAATGTTTTTTTTTATTTCCTCAGACTGGATACTGAGTGACACACTACTAAATATTTGCTGAAAAAATATGTCTTGAACTCTGAATAGTTGCAATAATATCGTATCCCTTATTTGCATTTTTTACAAGAGTATAGGGGTGTTTTTTTTTTTATCGTTAAGATGGGTAGTCGAGCTCACGTTCCACCTGCTGTTAAGTGGTTACTGGAGCTCATAGACATCATTAACGTAAATGCCCCATCCACCTTGAGACATGAGTTCTCAGACGCAGTTCTTATAGTGCAACAACTTCCACACCCTTCAAATCGAAATGCATTACTACTTCACAGCAGAAATAGGCTGAGTGGTAGCACCTACGCGTGCGGACTCACAAGACGTCCTACGACCAGTAGAACATGCCCTACCACCAGTTTGTCTGTTAAAACTAAGAATGTGTAAAACTTTACGTTTAAGTGAGAAACAGTAAAACAAATCAATGATCAAATCAATTTTTTTGCTTTTTTGTTGCTTAGAAAAACTTTTATTGCTTAAAAAACACCTCCAATTTTAAATTGCAACAGCACATTGAACCTAGCAGATTTTGTGGAATATTAGAGCGCCTCAGAAGTATGTGACAACAATTGTTTAAGTAAAAAAGCATTTAAGTTATTTAAGTAAAAAAAGAGGCCATTTTGTTCATTCACTTTCTTTCTCACATTTTAATGATTAGTCGATGTACGTTCTCTGTCAAAACATTACCTTTTTATTATTGATAAACACAATTTATCTTACCATTATCAAAATTACTTCTGCAACGTTGTGTTAAAACTTTCTAGTTAACTGTTTAATGGTTTTTGTGTTGTTAAAGTTCGATTTTTAATAAAAATATACACAAAGAACTTTCTTTTACGTTACTTCATTTAGACAGACTTCTTAAAATTACAATATATATTTTTAAAATAAAATAAAAAAATTAAGCTTTCTTCTTTTTAAATTTACATACCTCATTTCGGTAGAATTCGAATTTCGGTATTTATTACTCGTTTGCATGTGTCAATGTCATTCATGTGATCCAGAATGGCTTCGTAAAGAATTGTTTGAAATTAAAAGATTGTTGATTTTCGGTCGTATTAGATATAAGTACTTAAGTACAGACGACTGAAAAATTACAATATATATTTTTAAAATAAAATAAAAAAATTAAGCTTTCTTCTTTTTAAATTTACATACCTCATTTCGGTAGAATTCGAATTTCGGTATTTATTACTCGTTTGCATGTGTCAATGTCATTCATGTGATCCAGAATGACTTCGTAAAGAATTCTTTGAAATTAAAAGATTGTTGATTTTCGGTCGTATTAGATATAAGTCATTATAAGTACTTAAGTACAGACGGCTGACAGTAATGAGCGTGCGAATGAAAAACGAAACCATATTCAACGTATCGAGACGGATGCGTTCGGAATATGATCTTGGTATTTTTGGAAAGGAAACAGCCCGCTTTGACGGAAGCCGCTGACGACAGATTTCGCTCGTGAATAACAATATATCACTCATGGATTCACGGTCGCAGTGAAGCAGGATCATGCGTTGGGACGAATTCAAAAGTGATTTTAGTAAATTTTAATATACGGTGACTAAAAACAAGAACCCGCGCAATATTTTCGAGCGGAACGACATTCTGTGCTAGCTTGTGTTCTTTTATTCAATACTTTTTTTATCGTAAATAAATACGATACAAAGTTACGTTTTGGAACAATTGAAATTGGTTATTACTCACTTAATTCGATAATGTGTTTTGACTAACAATCAGATCGTGTCTTTTTTATAATTTTTTGTAGAAAAGATGGGTAATGGATTTTTTTTGTACATGTAATAAGTGGTGTTAAATATCATTAATTAGAGAAAAGACGAAAGTCATGCACTCGGCTGTTTTTATTCTAAATTGTATATATAGCATGCATCTCTCGTTAATTGGAGACGTTACATACTTTGCTTAAAATTTTACTAAGTTTATTCCCCGAGTTACGTTTTTTAAATTTGGCGAAAAAAAAATTTGTAGTTACTTTAACGATTCATTATTTATTGCACGTGTCACAAATATTTTTTTTAATAATTATTTAAAGTTTCCGATTTCATTTTCAATTAAGTGTTTGCATTAAGCACGGATACCTAAAATAACAAAAGTGCAGACGTGGTTCCAACGCAACCAATACAGACTAACTAGCTACTGTGCTTTAAGCATCAAAAGATAATCACTTCTTGGAGAGCACTTTGTTTGTCCCGAAATCGTTAAGAATATTTGTCCAAGGAAAGTAGTCCAATTCATGCTTGATTTTGGACCTGGACAAAGCTAATCGATACTTTGAGGTAGGTACATCCATCACCCCCTGAAATCAATAACTAACAATAGGCCGCTGCCTATATGGTAGAGCTTGAGAAGGCTGAGGTTACACGATGTCAGTTCATATTTCATAACTAGAGAATCACTGACCCTCTGCCTTAAAACTGATTTAGAAATATTCATAAACGTAATATAAAAAAGATCATTTGAGAAGCAGCTATTCTTGAGTTGTTAGTTTTCCTTTGCTGGTGCTTGGGTAGCTATTAGCATCCACCTCTCCTGGCTGGGCCAGTGCTCGCCCACCTGTCCCGGTGAAACTATGTAGAAAGGCATTCGTAATGCCACCAGTGATCCCTCTATCATAAAAAAAAGATATAAAACCATAGTTTGTTTGTTGTTAGAATATTCGTAACGTTAATACGGCAATACCTATATTGAAAATTAATAAAATAATTATGTTTCTTTTTTATAAATCTATTTTATTTTATAGAATAGTAAATAAATTTTTATACTATATATTATTAGTTAGTAGATCTATATCTATATCTATAGGTACTTCTATACTAATATTATAAAGAGGAAAGATTTGTTTACTTGTATTGAATAGGCACCGAAACTCCTGAACAGAATTGAATAATTATTTCACTGTTTGGAAGCTTCATTATTACCGAGTAACATAGGCAATAATCTTTTTTGGAAAAAATTGGTGATCCTTACTAAAACTCCAATAATGTAACCCAAGGTGTAAAAAAATTACCTAAAATATTCATTACATCGAGTGCCCTGCGAAAACTATTGATGATAGAATAAAATAATGTACAAAAGAAGAAAACGACAAATATCGTTGAAATTTTTGTTAAAGACCCGAGCGGAGTCGGAGCGGGCCGCTAGTTTAAATATAAATCTATTTTACTTTATAAAATAGATTAAGAAATGCATTCGAGTGAGGCTTACCTTGACGGCTGAGGGGAGTCGTCTTGCGCTGGTCACATTATAGCGCACCGCCGCTGTCCTCGGGGCCAGCCCTGCAACAAGGAAGTTAATGATAAACAAAACTGGATTTAAAAAAATATTACTTTTATCTCCATTTAGATGTGAAATACTGTCGATGATTCGCTTAGTAACGTTAAACAAATTCTACTGGCGCGATCTAAGCAGTATACTTCAAAATTAAATGACATTTAAAATTGTAATTCATTGTTTAGTTGTAGGTGCTTCTGATTTCACGTCATAATCTATACTAATAGATAAATCTACACTGGTTTTTACGGATGTTCCGTTATAACTACTGAACCATGTATCCGATTGACTTGAAACTTGGTATTCATATAGAAATTACATGTACTTAATGGATAGGCTAATATGAGTGTTGGACTCCCTACACCAGTTGCGGGGGTTAGGGGGGTGTTTAATGATGAGAATCTTTGTGGGAGTGAGAAATAATAATGTTAATTCTAATTGCCCAGTGAAGCGGACGGGTACAGCTAGTTTCATATAAACTTAGTCAGGATTGAAGAGAAATCTATTAAAAGCCGAGCGACGGCCAGGTGTGGGCAATCTTCGTGCAGCCCAGATGTTGCATTTAGTTCCTGTGTCGCGTTCCCGTCTCTTATGGACGCTTTCTATCATAGATTAAAAATATGAGGCCGTTAGCGTCAACGTAGCCAAGCCTGAAATAATAATGAAGGTAATTATTTCAAACCAGTTATGTTACTTTTGCTTTGTTGCCCGATAAAAACGCAATTGAAAAATGAATTTAGAACTTCGTGGAAACCTACGAATGTGCCGTTTCTGTTCAGAATAAATTTTCATTGTGATCAGTTTCTGTACCTACCTAAATTAAATATCGAAACCTGATCCGACCTTGGGTAGTTTTAGCACTGTTGATAGCGGCCTCATATTGACTCAGATAAAACATATCATTGGGCCGTGTCATCAAGTCTTATGGTTTAGTTTTGAAAATTACAAACATAATAAGGAGATGAAACATTGAGGGATCCCATAATTGAAGTGTTCTCTTTCAGACAACTATTGATTAATTAGAGGAATGATGGAAGCGAAGACGACTCTGTAGTAAGACTTGCTAGGTCAATTATTAAAAAAAAACTGATTGTGGTATGCTTAGATGCAAAAAATAATGTTTACTAGCGCTTTAAACACACACACACACAATTATATTAACTATACACAACATCCATATTTAAAAACTATTCTAATTAATATCAGATTTATCGTTTTAATACCATCAAATGTATAATCTGTATATAATATATGTATGTGTTTTTAGGTTTATTCATTTAAATGTAGGTATTGCTGTTCTTTACTTCATGCTTATTCTTCGAAACAGAAGCAGCTAATGGGGGTTCTGCTGCTACTATGACAGTAGTTTTCAAACGTTTTTTCTTAAACTATAGACTTTTAGAATGAAAATTACAGTAATCTTACTATTTAATGTCGTGTCTGTTTTGTTTACTGTAATTTTTTTCAAATTTCGAATACTTTTACGACGTTGACTAAAATGACATTGATAATTTTATATAAAAAAAGAAATCGTTTTAGATGCTTAGGTTTAAATTCCATTTCTGTTGATCTATGAACATTCTATCAATAGCTGTCTTGTGTGAATGTTGCGTGCCCCAGCGTCGCTTGCGTCGGCACACAAACTGCTCGAAAGTAGATCGGCCGTACCCAGATCCAGTAATTTATAAGTACATATTTATAAGCCGAAACTAGTTAGCCCTTTTGAGAAGTGAGCGGTTGTGCCGTGGTATGATTAATTAATTGGTTCTTTAGCATTTCTAAAAAAAAACAGGATATTTGGAACTGAAAAATGTTGCCTTAATATTATTTATTCAAAGCTGCTATCTGAATTTCTAGGGTTAAGGTCTTAGTTGCATTAATTGCAGAACTTATGAGAGAGGTGTATCCCGAGTCTATTGTACCTTTAAGCCGGAATTTACGTTTCGTTGAAAAAATAGACGTAGGTACCGGTAAGTTCTCGATATGCACGACAATCAATCCTTTAGTTAGAAATGAAGAGGCGAACGGCATAGGAATACTAACAGGACGGATATTTTATGATTATTAGCTAAACAGCAAAATAGAAATCAATTTTGCTTCAGTGTAGTGTAAAATAATTCCATTTTTTTATCTCCCTTCGTCGTTTTCAAGTCACGAGCATTGTCTACCTCAAAAATAGCTCTGCAATATAATAATCTCTATATAATCGACGTGATCAAAGAATCTCGTATATTACAAACACACAAAAGAACATTTCATACAAAGAGATTAGCTGTCGTTTAGTAGACAATGAGAATGTCAATATTGGTCTGTGTGGTAAACAGGCGTCTCGGACGGTCGACTCCCGAGAATCCGTCCACGTTTCATTTATAAAGCCACCTATAACTATAGCATCCCGATTGTTTCAGGAACAAAGACTTATTCGTTCCCATTCCAAGTTATTCTTTGGCTTTCAATCTACGTGTTTCTGTAAGCCTCCCGACTCGCGTAAAAGATACTGTGAAATATAAATCCACATGTACGTGAAGTCAAAGTCAAAATGCGAAAAGTTTTTATTTGGGATTTATCATGTTTAATAAATACTCGAAGAATATACTAATCAAATCAAATCAAAAAAGTTTTATTCAACATAAATGAAAGTACATACTTGTTGAACGTCAAAAGAACTACCGCCAATTCACAAGAATTAGCCTCCGTCCTGAGAAGAATTGGCAAGAAACTCAGCGGGCATGTCTTTTTTTTTTAATATATTAGATTTTTTTAAATATTCATTTTTACAATAAGTAATTATAACATAACAATTTTACAATATTGAAATGCCCGGAGCGAGCAACTCATTCCCACTTTGTGCAATCTTCTAGATAATCATTGACTTTATAGTAAGCTTTATTGCACAGATGTTCTTTAATAGTTTTCTTAAACTTATGTATATGTAGGTTCTGAACATCTTGTAGGATTTTGTTGTACAGGCGCACAGACAAACACCCGAATGAATTTCGTATCTTATGTATAACCTACTCATCGGCATAACAAGCTTGTGTTTGTTCCTAGTATTTCTATTATGTATGTCCGACATTTTAGGAAACTCCTCAATATGTTTACGAACATACATCAAATTTTCAAAGATATACTGGGATCGTTCTATAGCATGATGCACAAAACCAAAACACCGCTGTTTCTAAACATTGTGTGCAAATTTCATGAGATGCAACCAAATAAGAGTACACAGTCAACTCGCATAGTTTGTTTATTGCGGCTCACTGCAATATCATTGTTTATTGTATTCCCACCTGAAGTATTCGATACACATTACAATAAATAAAACACATACTTCAGGCGTAGTTTGAACATTCATTCGCTCTGTCAAACAGTCGTGACTCGATGAAATGGAGCTTATAGACGCCGGCCAGTATTGTGTCTTGGCATTGGGAGCATCGAAGCTTAGACAATCATTGTATTAGCTTGAGAACTTAGATGGGCCACGTGCAGGGACGTCTTAAACTAGGATGGGGCCCTTGGGCACACAAGAATTTGAGGCCTTTTGGAAAGTAAAAAAAGCATAATTTTTTAATGAGTTTGAGACCATTTATTATAGGTAATCAAATACAGTATGATATAATATGTCATTAATGATATTAGAACGCTGCTGGTTTTTTGGTTACGATTTCGATAATGGTTTTTTTCGGGATTTCTGTTGAGCAAAATCTTCTATCATAGTCATAGTATATGCCTTGTAAATACCTTCTGATTACTGATTTGTGAAAAAAGTGTAATGTGCCCGACAAAAATGTTTTGAGAATAAACGTGTGAAAGAAATTGTCGATCTTTCGGGGGCCCCTGAGAATGGGGGCCCTGGGCACGGGCCCCGTGTGCCCTTATGGTAAAGACGGTATTGGCCACGTGAACAGCCTCGTGTAACTCTGTAGAATTCTAATGCCGTATAAGCTATGCGACCGAGAAAGGAACGAACATCGTATAATGTAAGATCATGTTAACAAATATCTGCAAGATTACTCACGTTTGTTTACAGTATTGTAACAGTTTGTAGAGTGTTTGTTGTAATCAAGGCACGTGCCATCATAAGAAAACATACACAACATTGTAGCCGATTTGTGTGTAGTTTTTGATTAGTTCCTGTTTAGCTAAGAATAATTTGAATGTTAATTGGTTTGGATTGGTGTTCGTTGGAATATAACATTTCGATGCCTCCAATGAACAACTACTCTAACTCAAAATTTTGAAATTTTCGTTTTTCACGCAAATCGCTTCACTATGTTAAAAGTATTACAATTAATCATTATTGATGGGGTTCGAAGCAAGAGTAAATCAGCTAGCTACACAAAAAAGCCATAAATATATCTGCAATAATACAGATTTTATCAACTTTTTTAGTTTAAATGCTCCTCCTATAAATCTACGAATTTGGAGTTAGCGTAGTGTTCATTAGACGCATCGATTTGGTATAACAAAGCAACTACTACATGGGTGGTCAGCGATAGAGACTAGCAAATTATAATATCGTATATGCAAGAATTAAATTTCACGGTCAATAGGTTATTGATATAAAACTATTATAATATACCTAACATTAAATCAAGAAAAATATTCATTCTGATGAGTTCAAATGCGAACACAATATCGACTAATGATGCACCTACATACCAACCTTCAGGGAAACGTTAACCTTTGAGTTATGTTATTTTTAGTGACAAGATTGAGTACAAGATTCTGTAGTTACGATTGGAAGGTCATGGATTGCGATAGTTGATTTAAACTTGGTATTAAATAACTTAAATTATTTTAGTTGTATTATTTCCACTAATATCTGTAGGTTCTGGTGAAGATAGTACAATAGTAGCGCGTAGAAGTAACTAGAAGTGGTATGCGTCGCGAATCCGTTCTTGTATTCAATAGCTTGATAGACAATTATGATCGTCATCAACATTATAAAATTCTAGCCTCTTCGGCCTTATGATTAAAAAAACATTACAATAAGGTAAAATTA